TTTTTAACAAGTTTATAGAAAATATCTGACTAAATACAACAAAAATTCTTTGTAGTGAAATCTATCATAAAACAGTCAAGATGACAAAACATACCCGATCATGACTATTTAAAGAACCATTTTGATCTGATGGAGAATGTGGTGGTGATATAGGCAAGCCAAGTCCCTGTAGTGATGCAGTGGATGCCTGTCGAGAATGTCGAGATCTGGGTGTAAGGGATCCTGGCGTGTGCTGTGATGAACGCTGTCGAGAGCCACCAGCTGCTGATGTTAATGCCTGAGGTGATGACAACTTCTTCAAATCTGTCACATCTCCAAGCTTGCTTTTCAAATTGCCAAACATTATGGCTAACTTACTTTAATTCTTTCTGAAAAAAAAAAAAAAAAAAAAAAAAAAAAAAAATATATAAAGGATACAAATAATCAATTTATATAATTCTACCCTGCCAGGCCGTGGCCAGAAGGCCCGGGCAAAGCTAGAACTTCACAAATCGCAATCAATCAATCAATATAATTCTACTTGCATACAAACAAAAACAGTGTTCCAGAATATATATGACAGCCTTAACCCCTTGGTGCCAGGTGACGCCGATTGGCGTGTAAACAAAGTGCTCGAAAGCTGGCGTGTAGCCAAACGAGCCGGCGGCGCGCCAAAGTGCGGCGAGCCAGTGATTCGGGCTGATGTCCCCTACTCACGCCGCCTTTGTTTGTTTAAGCGTAGAGTTTTTTTTTTGTTTTGTACACCTGGTGCCATTGGGTTAAAACTATACACACACACAAACACACACGTGTGTGTGTGTGTGTATCTATGTATGTGTGTATAAATAAATAAAAATATATATGTAATTAATATATATTTTGTATGTATGTGTGTATAATTGTGTATGTGTATGTGTGTATGTGTGTATGTGTTTGTGTATGTGTATGTATATTTGTATGTGTATGTGTATGCGTATGTGTGTATATGTATGTGTGTATGTGTATGTGTGTATGTGTGTGTGTGTATGTGTGTGTGTGTGTATGTGTGTGTGTGTGTGTGTGTGTGTGTGTGTGTGTGTGTGTGTGTGTGTGTGTGTGTGTGTGTGTGTGTGTGTGTGTGTGTGTGTGTGTGTGTGTGTGTGTGTTTGTGTGTGTGTATACATATATATATATACACATAGTCTTGCTATAGGTTGTGTTCTGTACAGCTGCATAGTACAAATTTTGCCTGTAATGGATATATCAACAGAAAATAAGACACTCTTCATTTAAGGTATTTCTCTTGTACACTAACAGTGAGGAAATTTGGAATAGGTAATATTTTGGTATATGTTTACAGGGAAATCTATTAACACTATCATAAAGAAGGGGAAAAGCTACACTCACTAATGTATGAAATAATCTGTGTAGGCAAAGAATAAAATTTGAAACTTAAAAATAAAGGTTGCAACTGTGGCTGTGTAGAGATTAAGCTCTCTGCAACTGGGTGTGGGTCTGAGTTAGGGAAATACTGCAATTGGAGGGGGTCCTGCAGCAGAGCGCTGCAGTGTTAGAAAGGTTCTTAGTTCATACAGCAATGTTTCTGGATCCCTGGGAGTAGCAGGTGTAACAGGAACTAGACTTCATAAACAGTTAACAGTCCTTTCATTTATATCAACTGTGATAGAAAACAATAAGATTTACTTGTTACAATGTGAACAATTGAAACAAGGAATAATAAATGCATGTTGGTTGTAAAACTGAAAAATTACCCAAGTCTTATCTTCCCAGAATATAAGGAGTGGTTTTATTTCAAATCACACTAGGATAACTCCATGTATGTGGGCCATAAACATGAGCAAAGACTGGTAACTGCTTCAGTTGTACCAGGTTGTTAATGTTACTGAGAGCGATGCACATAGATTAAGGGAAATGGACACTGCCATCTTATGGGGCATAAGAAAGAACACAGGTACAGGTGCAGTGGCCTCATATTTACTGCAAAATGACAAAACTATCTGCTGCAAATCCACAATACATTCTCACAGCCAATTCTTGATGAAGCATTTTCTGTAAGTTGGCAAGTGCTAATAAATGAGGGGATACATTTGTCTAGGGAATAAATAGAAGGTAGGAAAGGTTAGGTTTGGATTCTGGGTTTGCATGATCCCTTGGATTTGGGACTTGGAGGTGCGTCGCTCTCGGTTAGAAATGCCGCACCGGAAACACCCAGGCTTTTGGGCAATTACTGGGAAAAACTGCTATGTCTGCTTTCAATACTGTGTGAAAGTAAAATGTCTCATCGAAACAATTTTCCGAAAAAAACATATCTTCAAAGTTTATTTAAACCTTTAATAGAAAAGTCCAGGTTGGATATTAAGTTCTTGCTTCTTATTGCATAACTATAAATGGTGTTGATCAATGTAACGCACAATGCTACCTTTTTAAGGCGTTCTTTCCAACTGACTGGTAAGGGTGACGAGTGTACCCATCAGCTGCTTCTGCCCTGCCTCCGACGTCAACACAACTGAGTGCGAATGCG